CCACAACAACAAACTAAATGAAAATACATAAATCTCATGTCTGTGAAGGTTCTCAGTCATCCAGGTCATCGTAGTCAAAGGAGCTTGCAAAGAAAAGCGTCTGGACTTCTTTAAGTCCAGACGCTTAAAATAACTTAAAATAAGCTTAAAGTAACTTAAAGAAGTCCAGACGCTTTTCTTTGCAAGCTCCTTTGACTACATAAATCTCTATCTAAGTGGTTTACAATATGATAGTGTGTGCCTCTCATGCCTCACCAGCTGTCCCTGAGGGGCTGAAGGGAGACTGAGCCAGTAGGCCTCAGTGCCATCAATAAGGGAGGTGTGGAACCGTGTGGTGTCCACCCCCAGGAAAGGGGACATGGTGATGGAAATGTTAAGAAGCTTGACAAGTGGGAGGTCCCTGGTCAGTCTCTTGGACATCCCCCTTTTCCTGCTGTTGAGGTAGTCATGGTCCTGCAAAGTGACAAAGAGACAGACAACAATTCTAAATAAGTGCATTAATAGTTTAACGGTGCTACTAGCATACACCTTTGCAAAGTTGCTTTGCAGAATTGTTGCTTTGAGAATGCAACTTCTGTCAGAACCATTTGACATTTGCTAGAGTCCTTTGGGAATTAGATGTTAAGAGTCAAACTGAAACTTTGCATTACATAACTGTGGAACAAGACAAAACATATGTAAAATAGCTGTGGGAGGAAAGGCTATATTAGCTCATATTGTTTAATTTCTCCCCCCCCCCCACTAACCATTCATTTCTTCTGCTTTTTTTTTAATCAAGAAAGAAGTAAAATGCAAAGAAATTCAAATAATGTGTTAGACTCTAGGCTTTTATTCTAAAAATTTACTTTAATTTCTATGTAATAAAATGAGAAACAATGCAAACCTATTAATAACCAAATCACTTTGATGCCAGTCCTTGCAGAGTAAAATGGAAACTGTAAAATAAAAATTAACAGAGTGACTGAAAATGTATGGACTCTTGTAAAACTGGAGTGAAAGGGGATCATTGTTGCTAGCCACACTTCTACACAGCCTAACGTGTTAATTCTGTAAGTTTCCATGCAGGATTTTACGCTTGGCTGGTTCTTTATTGAAGTATGAGGGGAGTGAAGTGAGGTGGTACCAACAAAACTGGAGATTAATATCCTTGATCTACCAGAAAAGTAGTGAACTGTTGTTCACCAAATAAAGCCATCCATCATGATTGCGTATTATTCTGTATTATTATTATGTTTCTGTTCTTTCACAACTACTGAAAATGCAATGGAAACATTACCAGTGTGTACGTATATAACAGGATGCCTGGCAATAACCTTTTATCGACTGATTGCATTTCTGCCTGCATGGTCTTCTGCTGTACAGTCTGGGTCATATCTGAGCATCAAGCTGGGATTACTTGCTCTAGTTGGCTAAGGTCCCTTCAAATCTCAGCACACCCAGTTCTTTGCCATCCTGCAGTTACCAAA